TACTCATCAGAGGACTTTGGTCTCTGGCTCGAGCTATTGAACCACGTCCTACCCCCCTAGTTATAAGTATCCAAACTAACACTCGCTAAACCTCGCACAGGGCGCCGCCCCTCTCGCGGATACGTAAACTAGTCTCGGGACGCGAACCGGGCGCGTCGCTATTCTTCTCGTGGTAATAGATTAGTATATTGTGATATAACTTGTAAAGTATTGTAAACTTGCTCATTATNTAATGGGGATGTTGCCTGGGTCAAAAAGCAAGAGTTTTAATTAGTCCGTCAGTTAACTTATCAAAAAATACTCTACACGTATTTTTCACTTTTTCAAACTAATGAAAATTTAAAGAGATAAAGCGCCCCAAAGTTCATAAGAAGAGGCCCGTGACGTCAACGCTTGCTTAAAAATGCCGCACGTTGTGACGTCGTGCGCAACTTCAACGCACCATAACTATGTAATTATTTGTTAGATTGACAAATAAAAATATACGTGTCCAATATTTTTTGATATTAAACATTACGGACTAAAAAAATTTTTTTAGGCAACTAGCCTATTGTCGATTCGAGACGTTCTATCGTTGATAGCCTTTCGGTTCTCGTCCTCACCGAGTAGTGCATGTGATACTCATTCCCGACCTGCGGTAGCAATCCCGCTGCCACCCTTCCTGAACTTCATACCCCCTCGCCACGTAGGTCCGACGCCCTTTCCCAGTGGTATCATACTCATCAGAGGACTTTGGTCTCTGGCTCGAGCTATTGAACCACGTCCTACCCCCCTAGTTATAAGTATCCAAACTAACACTCGCTAAACCTCGCACAGGGCGCCGCCCCTCTCGCGGATACGTAAACTAGTCTCGGGACGCGAACCGGGCGCGTCGCTATTCTTCTCGTGGTAATAGATTAGTATATTGTGATATAACTTGTAAAGTATTGTAAACTTGCTCATTATTAAACGATAGTAATTTAGAGTCAGTGAAACTAGAATAAGTAAACCATTGTGGAACCCAGATTATAAAGTGCCATTGTGTTATTGATTGTGCGTTTCCTTGGTCAAATATCCCTGTAGGCATCCTGGATAGGTACACATCCCTCATCGCAGAAGGCGAACTGGGACTTAGTACTAAACAGCGGGGTGTCAGACTGAGCTAGCTAAGACGCCCCGTTGCATACCAACCAACAAGTTGAAAGTTTTTAAGAAAAATCATAATCATTACAAATTCACCACATACAAGACATCTTTCCTGGTTCAGGAGGACTCTAGAATAAACTTAATAATATTTAGTAATAACGTTTAGAAATTAATGAGTAACATTTCATGACAGTCTGTTTTTCGGTTTTTTCTTGAATGTTTTCAGATCGAAACGCCATCTGTGTTCATGTTCATTTAAGACTTGTTTTATTAACTTATGACCTGTACCTGGCGACGTGCCCAAGCACCATTTAAGGCGATTACATGGCCGAACGACCTTGAGCATTAGAGCGAGACAACGCGCCTCTCGCCGCGCGCCCGCGCTTCTGCCCGATACCAAAGTGCGCTCAGAATACAGATGCGAAGCGCTGCCAATTCTAACATAACTGCCTACGGGAATGTTAACTCGATTTTAATTTACGCAGATCGAAAAAAATTGCGATGCTTATTTTGTGTTTCAAANTCTCTATCATTTGGTGAAAGAATCATTAAAATCGCACCAGCCGTTTAGGAGTAGTAGGAAATTTCTTTGGTGAAATTAGAAGAAAGTTAAGAATTTTTCCTGTCAAAACTAATAGTTGTAACAAAAAAAACGAACAACAATTTTTTAGTTTAAGATATTATACATCTCACACATATTTTTTTTTATTGTTTGGATCATCCATTTAGGAGGAGTAGGGATTCAAAGAGAGGTCTATTTTGCAGTTTTGCCTCACCTATCGCCTTAAATTACAACGAACATAAATAATACAAGTGTTACTACGTCATAAACACATTATGTGATTATGGTCTAAAAGCCATTGAAAAGAAAGGAAAGGACCGGCCATGAGAACGTCAAGCGACCGGTGGCTTACTGCAGTTGATGCATCTCCGTTTGTGGTTCATAAAAAAGTAACAGCAAGAAATTAAATATCTGCACATATCTCTACAACTCATTTTCATGAACGTTTTAGAATCCGAACATAAACAGTATAGGATCCTGTAAGTACGTTTTCATACAAAATATTTTATTCTACAAAAGTACCACAAACAAAGACAAAGAAGGTACATTAGACAATATAAAATGACTACTCTAGCAAGTTCCATAATTATCTACACAAAGACCTTCAGCTAGTGAGGAAATACTTAAAATCAAACAATCCGTAAAGGAAGACGCAAGAACCCCTATCAAGGATGCGCATTAGATGATTTAGTAGTCATTGGGATATGTAGCGACCAAAAATTTTTGGTGAAACGCGAACAATGGGCAAAATCTACACTCGCAGAATTTATATAGTCTTTTTATACCAAAAATAATAAATTTCGTATTCCAATAACATCCACATTAACGAAAATCCACGACGCGATAGCGGCTACTTGAATTTTTAATCGGAAATCAGACGTTGAATACTAATCGATATGTCGAAATCGGATGAGTGATATCGATGTTTTGGCAATCGGAAATGATTTCTTCTGCACATTTGTCATTCGCAGCGAAATATTAGAATATGATGAGAATTGCAATATCATAATAATATGTATTTTTGCTTTTGATGTAAACATTCTCATTGTTATAGTTGACTTGATGTGGTTAGTTACAAATTTTGACGAAGTTCGCGGTTGCATTTAGGCCCAGAACAGACGGTGAAACGCAACTGCAACGAAACTGCAACTTTCTGATGATTCTGATGACTGAAACTGAAACTGAAAGTTTCAAACTGATCGCGTCATGTGTGGTCTCTCAACGGACGCTATGGCAGAAACTTAGATGCAACTCAAAAGTAACTAGCGGTTGCAGTTTCGTTGCAGTTGCGTTTCACCGTCTGTTCTGGGCCTTACAATCATGTTACTTACTATCTACCTATGTACTATTGAATTAGATAAGTAGGTATTTCAAAGAAAGACTTCTAAAACACAGATTGCCTCAGCGACCTGGTTTTGATTCACTCAAATTGGTATAAATGAAGCTATTACATCACTAGAGATTACAAGTAGGCGTCAATTGCCGGCCTTATTTCTTCGCCAAGCAATTTCTTCTTCACCTTCTTTTGTTTCAGGTCAATCAGGAAAGTTCTATTGGTTTAAATGACAGACATGAGCGTCCGTCTACAGCTTTCTTCAATGTCAAAAGTTCAAGTTCAGTGACAATGAAACAAATGCTACTCACAATAAATCTAATTAAACCACGGCATCACATGATGCCACCAAATTATCACAGAAATAAAAACCCGGCGGAAAGCGTTATGAGTTCACGGGACAAATCGATTGGAGCATCAACCCCCTCATTTGGTGCTCATTACGCGCCGGATGCCCGACGATTATCGCGGCCGGTCTAATCAGACCCCTCTCTTTTCTTTCTGTGACAATCTAATTTGGTCAAGTGTTGCCAGATACAAATACGAGCAAATCACTCGATACTCGATCAACGATGAAATATTTAAAAAAAGAAGTGTTAAATAACCACATTAGAGGATTTTTTAACGAAATACTGTTTCATATCTACCTACCATTTTAGAAAAATAATAGCGTATGACCCCCCGCTTTAGGATTTTTCTCGATCATTTTTCCTTGTATACTATTTTGGGGTGGTCACTTGCACACCCTAAGACACGATTTTCAGATATCTAACTAATCTATAAACGTGTAGACTAAATTCCTAGAAAACAATCGACTAAGGCCCTCAGATTTTAAAAATCTGGCACAACTCATGCGAACTGGGACACCTGGCAACACAGTGGGTCAGCGTGCATTGGTCGTCCCGTCCTATTTCATACGTCCTGCAATGGCTGCTCTCCTGGTACGGAGTTGATTCGCTTATGACGTTATTACATTAAAGGGAAACGGTCAATTAGATTCGGAGTTCAAGCATTTCATAACGTTTTTTGTCGTTGGGTTTAAGATTATTTCATGGTATGTGTAAAATGTGAGAAACTCTACCACTCTCTTTTGTTACCGTTGTTTAGTAAAAAAGTGTAGAAAGACTGAATTGAGAAGCCCTAGGATTTTATTTTTCACGGTGAAAAAGGCGGCATTTATTAAAATAAGGCAGAACTTTAGCATATTACCACAGAATACATAATAGTAGCAACAGAAATTGCACTCCTTTGTGTAGGATCAGATGCCGACATTTTAACGGTAATAATAATAATGCAAAATATCCAACGCACATGGTGCATTCGAAATCGCACCTTACACTACGCTCACAAGACCGCAATTTTTTTGTGTTCAGAATTGATCTACCTCACAGCTCAAGCGTCAGGGTTGAATAAGCAAATTAAAATAAATAAAAACTTAATTTTAAGAAGCATTTATTGTATTTACGATTGGTTAACTTTAATCTAGTGGTTTTTTTATAATCGTACCATATCTAAAGTACCTATTAATAAACTTCAGTGATGCGATAATTCGAAATTGGACACACAGTTTTAAAAGGTGTAGTATCAGAAAATAGACACGGTGAAGTAAAGTTAATGTTTTTATTAGCTAAATAATTTTTTTGCTACAGTTTTTTGTCATAAGTATTTCAAAATTATTTAAAGTGTAGTTTTTTTTAATTATTTAAATTACTACAGTTAATTATTATTCTTAAATGTTACGATTTTCCATTAAAGAAGAATAACAGTGCTGTTGGAACAATAAACCTTGATTGCGACGATAATCGACCGAGCGTGTACATAGAAATACGCGTGTGCTCACAGGCGCGTCACGGCGCGTGGCGGCCTTGACTGATTTGCAACTTGAAGTTGTCGCGCGCTGTAGGTAATTATCTCGGCCGGCATAGGCGAGTGACGGAGGCCTGATATTACTTTAGTTGGTTTACTCAAAATTTTACTTACCAACGACAATGACCCTGGCTGCCGACACGCACGCGGCCGCCAGCAAAACAAAAGTGACAGCGATTGGCATTTCGCGCCAAAACGTAATGGCGGTGCGCGTCATGTTTCCAACGCTCAACTCCTCTTATTTCGATCCATTAGTTTCTGGAACAATCAAAATTCATTACATTAATATTTTATAAGGAAAAAGAAAGTTGAAAAAACTTTTTAGGTACACATTTTACATATTCATTACTGTGATCAGTAAACAGATTAAAAAACAAACACTACAGACTGCATCAAAACGACTGGACCATGGACGAACTAAGTTCTCCATGCGTGCCTGGAATATTGTAGATATTTGCTAAAATTCTTCATGAACATCTGCAGGCGACTAAAAATAGACCCTCTCAGTTGCATGGCCAATAAAATTCGAAACGTAATGCGTTCGTTGCGTTGTAATTTCTGAAATACAGGGTGCGTGAAAAGTCATAAACGTCAGAAGGCATTCCCTTTAATACCCTGCCAAGATAGATTTACTGGTAAAATTTCACAAACTTCATCTTCTAATAGGGTTGAGATCTATTTCGAAATTCCGGGAATTCTTGTGATTAATGAAGTTCCGTTTGTTTAGTATTGATTAAGGATTAACGGATTTGCAATAGCCTAAAATTTCTTTTCAGTTAGCAAATATTCTGATTGGTCAAAAGATAAAATAAACTTCTAGGTACTTAGTTCAAAAAATTATTTGTATTAATCAAATAGGTTGAAACAAAACGGTAATTAGTCGATGGTATTAAATAATAAATGGATTGGCTTTTAAGTGAGAAAGTACTTTCTTATCTTAAAGTTATCTCAGTATAATGTGTAACCAAATAAACGTTACTTTTGTATTTCAAAACATTTGACTGCTTTGACTGTATTTTTTTTTATGCTAGACAAGGCAGGTATTTGACCGCAATCGCACCTGGTGCTAAGTGAGATGCAGTCTAGGATGGTACATATCTGCCCTGTAAGTGCCTATTCACTCTAGCCTTGAAAAGGATTGAATTTTAAAAATTAAAAAATATTTTTGTAATAAAAAAAACATAAAAACATTACAACCTATATCCCAATACCCCCAAAACCGTTTTCTGCATTGCTCGTAAAAATAATTTTCTCCGGTCGTTGGCACCGTATAAAATTAACGTAAAATAAACACGCATATAAAACATCCAGGTTTGATTCCGAAAGGGTGCCTTCATAAATAATCTCCGTATCGTGTTCCTTTTAATGTGCGCGCGCGCAACCAAACCGTTACTATGCAACTGTTAGTAATAGTTGCAGTCTCGTAGATTGGAGAAAGAAAACTAATTCATGATAGGGAAAACTGCATTAAAACTACTTAACCAAGTCAAAAAATATTATGTGATTGTGTATTATTCCAAATAACAAAAAAACCGTCTTAATATATTCGTGAATTCAGCACTGTTGGGTCCGTCTAAAGTCATTTAAAAGATTCATTTGCTGTGTATTTGTTAATTGGCATTATTTTTGTCACACTCCAGGATAGGCATATAAAATCATTGCATTTGGTGAGAAACAATGACTGAAAGAAAAAAAAACATGCAAGCTTCTACTTTATATATGGCATCCTAGACTGCATCCCACTTAACATCGGTGCGATTGTGGTCAAATACCTGCCTTGTTATGCATAAAAAAAAAAGAAAACTTTCACAACATCAACAAGAAATTCTGACACTACCACTAAAAATGTATCCCACGATTTACTAATTAATTGGATAGCGTTGTTTTCCATTATTTATGTTACGTAATGTTTTAATAGTAATTATTATAAGAAATATCAACAGTTACTCAAAGAGCGTGTTTTCGAACACAGCAATAACCTTTTATGAGCGACTATAAATATGAATGCAGCTTAGGATAGAGAGAGACTTCAGAAACACCCACCTTCCGTTTAGTGTACAAGTATTTTTTAAACGTGCAGGGCTGCCACACTAGTCAGAAAGAAGTTTCAGCAATTAGTGACGTCATTAGCTCGTAGAGTTTTCTAATTTAGATATTTTTAAGGCCAGTCAGTAGGCCTAGGATGCGCGCCGCCGCGATAAGCTTTTATCGTGCCATTTTATAGATTTTACGCGATAAGCCTAAACATTTTCCGTTTAGAATCATCGATAAAATTTTATCACGGTGCATGCACCCTAGCCCTGCAGGACCAATTGCCTAGGGCATACAGTTCATATTTCACTCACTAAGAGCAAGATTAATTTATTGTGCGTAGTTTTCCTAGTAGGCATCCAACTCTTACATTAGTTTTTGGCAAGCTTGGGGCCTGTCCATTTAGTGGAAAGTGGAAATCGTGATTTATGGACGTTGCACCATATTTGCGCAGATGCCAATACGGTACCTAGCCAACGATTAACACGAAAACTTTTCCTTTCTGAATCGTATGCTAACCCAAACTATAAGACCTTATGCCAGAACAATGTCGCAACTGAATAATGATGCTGTAAGTAGAACTTTCCTAAATCAAGGCATTTTTCCAAAAATAATAGAGCCCGCTAAAATTTCAAAAATAAAATTTATTTAGACGCAGTGAATAGGCTGAAACAAACGATTATGTTTAATTTGCAACCTACTGACCTTTTCAAACCGTTACGGTTTCACGAAAAAGACCAGTATCAAATGTTTATTTCCTAAATGAATTTTCACAACCCTACCTATATGCACGTGCTAGTCGCTCGTTCATCATACGTGGAAGGGCTAACCTGGCCGCTTCGAAAATGGATACACAGCTTTTTATTTTATTGTTATGCGCCTAAAAATACCCCTTTCAACGCACTGATACGTTTTATTTACAACGATAACCCAATGGGGTGTTACATTGAGGGGGCTAAAAATAAATGGGGTTCAAATTGTATCTTATGAATTAAATTAATAACTAGTATATTTAGAACACTGTTCACCAACAAAACGTTAATTTTACTGTCATATTGATTTCTGTAAATGTTCTTAAGATTTTCTGATTGTATGGGTTGGATATCGATCGTTCTTTAAAGGGGGTAAGAAGTGGACTAGTTGCTTTACCGAAAAGATTACTACTTAAGTCGGTTTTATAAAATACGCTCATTGCTTGATTCAATTGAGAAAAAAATCAGTCATAGATTCTGCCTTGTGATTGGTCTCAATATTGAACTTCAAACAATCAAAAGCATTTGAGCTTTAAATTGAATCGAGTTTTGAGCTAGTCACCAAGATGGAAAAGTTGTAGTTAAAGGTGAATATACAATGTATAAGGTGGGATACAAGGATTTTCCTTAAATAAAACACCGTAAAAAACCTATCACCCTGTTAAAAATACACTTTTCATCGTCTCAGTGGGAAGTGATTTATTTGATAATTGAACGGGGTAGTTTTTACGGTGTTTTATAAATAGTTATGGGGTTAGAAGTTATTTTACACATGGGTTGAAGAAATTAAAAACTCATTTATCAATACTCGTAAACTAAAAATAGCATCGGTCATGTAATATGTGAGTACCTAAGTAAGTAAGTGCGTAGAGTATAGGTACTTGTAATTTCTGTAGGACGTTTTGAAGCTTGCTAAAAATAGATGAAGAGAGTAAATGTTTTTGTATGAATAAATAAAACAGTAATCAAATCTTTTCAACATTTTTAAATCTATTTTAGAGGTTTCTTAATATAGTTTAATTTATTATTATTTTTGTACAGTCAAACAATGATCTCGCTTGTTTACACGCGGCGAGACACATTACATAACTACACGCCAGATGGCGCGCGCTTACACGAATATTTCTAAACAGAGCTCTATGGACATACAGGGGGATGCAAGATGAACTGATCATAGATAGCCATGTTTGTAGTTCTTTCACAAATTCATTTACACCTAGTACCGAAGTACTACTCGTAGTACTTATTCTGTGCTAGTACTAGTAAAGTATAATAGGACACTAGTTACATAATATTTTTGCGACCTTCATTTAACAAAAGCTTAAAACCACAATAATTTAAGAAAATATATAGGTACGAGTATGTACCATGAAACCATGTACTCTGCCTAAAGAACTAGCTCGTCATGAACTTGTAGAGTTAGGGCGTGAAGAGTTAGAAGCTTGGCTCTACATGAGATCTGAAAACTTTTTGACAGTGCGAGCAAACGGCTCATATTGTCAACATTATACGTGAGAATGTTTTTGGTGGGATAAGATCTTCTTAGGCTGGGTGAAACCCTTACTTTAACTTTGACAAACGTCAAAAATCTGTCAAACTCCATACACCAAAACCGGTTATCGTTATAGTTACAGTCAAAGTAGTTGTTGCAACTCAGCCTTAGTATCAAATAGGTACTTTGTCGTCACATTCGTCTTATGAAGCGACCGTTGTTTCAATGAAACTGTGAAATCAAACCTCAATCTGACCGCAAGTAAATTAGCCGTAAAGCAAACAATGGCCCCAATTAGCCTCTGTTGGCGCCAATAAACGGCGTGTTTACACGACTGCATTACTTGCGACAATAAACTCACCGCAATGAGCCTGCATTCACACTGCTGCGAATTACACGAACTTTCATGTTTAGTCAAACTTCTTTAGGACGAACTTATACAAGCTTGAAAGATCCTACTAACGTTGTCCTTCACGTGTCCTTCCGTGACCTAGGGCTAAATCATCGGTGAAAACTTAATTTGTATGAATTATATTAGGATAGCAAGCCTAAGCCTAAGCCAGCGAATAAGATAAGTGGAAATGCAAAAGTACCGACATGAACAACAATGATAAAATAACTTGGCTCTCATACAAAGGGTTTAAGAATCTTTAGCGAGCGGTCGATAAGGTGACTGACTGACTGATATAGTGATCTATCAACTCACAGCCCAAACCACTGGACTAGATGTTATGACGTAGGCATCCGCTAAGAAAGGATTTTACGAAACTCCACCCCTAAGGGGGTAAAAAGGGATCCACGAGTACGAAGTCGCGGGCAGCCGCTAGTTTAACATGAAAGAGAAATGTTGTTACTAATAGAGGCTCTGTAACTTAATTTTGATACTACTATCAAAATTATGGATTATATTTGGGCTAGGTCTAAACCTAGTCCAGATTAATAAATCCAGATCGAAGCCGGTGTAACGGCCGCCGCGAACGCAT